GCAAAAAAGGTTGGAGACCGCTGGTGTAGAGTGTCAGGAAAACTGTGAAAATGACATCACTATGACCCAATCAGACCCAACAGTACACCAGGCAACTCTCTCCTGTAAGATTTCATTAAGAGGTCGTTGCTTGTGGACATTCCTTATTTTAGACTTGAATAAATAATGAAAGTAGTTACATACCGGCATCATTGGCATCATCTAGCTTCGGGATGCCTTTGATCTTGCTGTGCTTCACAGATGAACACTTTTTATTCAGCTGTGTCTGAGCTTTGAACTTTACCCAGTTGAGTATACTCTCCACAATCCCACAGTTGGTTGCCTGTAGGTGACAAACGTTCTTTCTTTGAAGTCCTGCTACTTTACATGAGAAAAGATTAAGTACAAACAAAGGTGACGGCTTGAAAAGAAGTGAGAAATGTCCTTACAGCCCTGACAAACTTGTCTGACAGAAGGCACTTGGACCCGAAGCTCTTGGTCTGGAGTGTCATGTTCTCCTTTGTCTGGGAGTCAAACGATGGATTCTCAATCAGTGCGTTCACAAACACCCAGATGTGGTTTTTCACCTGAAGTACAAATGACAGAAAGATTAAATGTTTTTCAACATGAAGCTGTGAATTGAAACCAATGTTTAAATAAGAACCCCAGTGACGTCACCTGGAAGGGTTTGACTGACACTCCTGCCTTGTTCTTCTTTTTCACTACCTCAATAAGTTTGGCTACGATCTGGTCCACGACATAGTCAATGTGCCTGCCACCCTAAAACGTACAAGTGTCAGCGTTAAATGAACTTTCTTTACTTCCGACTGCCATTTACACTTCTGCAACTTTACGACTCATATCCAGATACCTTTGTGGTGGCGATGCTGTTAACAAAGCTGATTTGTTGGAATCCTTTCTCGCTCATGGTGAGGCAAACCTCCCATCGATCGTTCACCGTTTCATGCACCACCTTCAGGGCCACGCCTGTCTCATCCAGCTTGTCCTTCACATACAGGTCCACATAGCTGCGGAACCCGTTAACCTGAAAGAGAGAAGGGTTATTGAACATATGATGTGATATTCAACATGGCAATTAAGTTCTCTTTATTTT